TAGGCAATCAGGTAGCGACTTCAACGAGGGGGTGCATAATCTGGCAGGGGTGCAGAATTCGGCACAACATCGGCAAGTGATCAGAGGATGGAGAGGTAATGGAGCATTCGCGCAATCATTTGGCAAAATGTCTTTGGTCTGCGCTCTGGAAGTGTTCTGTTAATTCTGCTAAACTTTAATTACTAAAACTAAAATTAAAACAAACTAATCTGTATAAAAACTAAATAGGCTATAAATCTGTTCACAAGATAAAAACTAAACTAAAATTAACCAAATTATTAATGAAACTAATAAAAGAAAATGGAAAGCGATATTAAAATAAAAACGAATTTAAAAATGCAAAACTATAATAACCCTGACACAAACATTTCATCTTTCATTGGTGCGTGAGGAGGGGGATCCGCCAAATGAGGTTATCGGAATTCGGAGGTGCTGAACCCGGACCCAGCTTTCGGCTGTACAGCACGGCTTGAACAGATTTCTATGTCTCTTAGTGAAAATGAACTACAGAGACTTGTGCTTTACGTGTTCGAGCTGCTTACCGGGAATTCTCCCAAATCTTCCCATGGCCACTTCAGGCCTGTACATACACTTAATTTGCTTTTGCAGCTATACTAGTGGTTTTTTATTAATTAATTTTTTTACGTTGTAGTAGGAAAAAAATATATAATAATCAGAAAACACGCCGGTGTCTGCTTTATTTTAACGCAGTTGTACCAATAAACAAAATGTCCAGTCTTTCACATGCATCTTAAAGATTGTGTTTAATTGTGAATGTGAAGTGGGGGCGGCACGGTAGGGTTTTGCCTACAGCGGCAGTTGAGCTCGCGCTGGCCCTGATTGTAAGGATTGTATATTTTCATGTTTTCATTTACCTCCTCCTTCTCAGGACTGTTTCTGGACTCGACCTCCACCTGCAGAGATATTGTTTCTCCAACGCTCTTTCTTTTTGATAGCCGGTCCTCATCTAAGGGAAGAGGGTGGAATTAATCAACCGTTTATGCGATCCATCTCTGTCAGTCGGCTAATAAGCAGAAACAACTTTAGACTAAAGCTAATCAGACTAAAGCTAATCAGTTAATCTGCAATGCAAATGCCTTGATTGCATTGGCTACAGCTTGAGTATCTGCTTATCTACAATAAGAATTGCATTGCTTTCTGGAAACAACATGAAAGGTACACATAACGCATTAAGAGTGTGCCATGTGACGTTTTCAAGTGAAAAAGAATATTCAGCGGGAAACAATGAAGAGCAGTTATCTACTGGGATTTGATTGGTGCATGATAATTGCGCACAATTGAGACCAAAGAAAATCAATTGTGATTTTACATGGTATATGATGTGGCCCATCTATGCACCTGTGAACTGTGGGACATAAGGTGTAGCTAGTCGCTCAGTGTTGTAGCCGCTTCCTCCAAGAACCTCAGTTATCTTGGCCTGTTGGAACAACAGCTCTCCTTCCAGCTTCTCCAGTGTCTTAGGAATCCTGGGAAATCAACAGAGGACTGACAATTTATGATAGCAAATCATAATTATAATATTGTGAAATATTAATTAATCAATTAAAAAACTGTTTGAAAATGTTCTACTTGAAAATGTCATTGATGATGATGGCAAAGCTGAATTTGAAGCAGCCATTACTCCAGTCTTCAGAGTCACATGACCCTTCAGAAATCATTCTAATATGCCGATTTGCTAAGCAAGAGACATTTCTTATAAAACTGAAAATGGTTATCCTGCTTAAAATATTTTTGTGGAAACTGTGATATTTTTTCAGGATTCTTTGATGAATAGAATAAGCATGATAGATGAATAGCATTCATTTGAAATATAAATCTTTTGAAATGCTATAAATATCTTTATTGTCACTTCTGGTCAATTTAATGCATCCTTGCTGAATAATATTGAACATAATATATAACAATAAATAAAACAACTCTGATGACTCATAGTTTGTCTTACTTTGGGTTTTCAATGAAGACATCCTCAGGTAACAGGTAAGGACTTTCTTTTTGTCTCATTTCAATCACCTGCAAAAAGATTTGTACCCTTTATTCATCTCAAATTTTAATTCAATACAGTTGCCAAAAACTGTTAGTGACAGAGAGACTCCAGAGAGGCACTGACCTCATGAACGTGCTGGCAGAACGCTGGCACTGTGGTGAGCTGACTGATGAGATTGAGATAAGCAGAGGACAGAGCATGAACAGCACAGCGGTTATACACCGGTAACGTCTCCTCGCTGCTCAGAGCCAAGTCCTGGACAGAAAGCGACACAGGAAGATGAGACAAAATACTGAAATACATCACCACTGAACCATGTAGTTTATGATGATGAAACAAAAAACTACATGTTGAACATTCAAAAACTCATGAAGATGTTCACTTTCTAATTTAAAAACTTCAATTTCAGTATCACTTTTAAAGAAACCCTTGGTAACCTTGAATCATGTCAGATTTGGTGACCCTGCTGTATATTCTCAGCTGTTAATTTAAGACCCTAATGCTTTACAGGATATCAAACAGAGGTGAATTTGGGTAACATTAAAGCCAATGTGTGTAATACAGGGGGAGGTAACAGATTTTGGTAACATCTTATGCTGCCTTGTCAGATTTGGTAATGCTGCTGTATATCTGCAGCTGTTCATATCAGAGCAAAATTGTTTTTAGAATATAAATCAGAAGAGATTAGACATAAGCAGAGTGAATTTGGGTAACATTAAAGCCATTGTGTAAGAAATAGAGATTGGTAACAGATTTCTGTAACTTATCATGCTGCCTTGTCAGATTTGGTGACCTTATTGTACATCTGCAGCTGTTCATATCAGGTCAAAATGTTTTCTATGATATAAAACAAAGAAGTTCAAACATGACCAGAATGAATTTGGGTAACATTAAAGCCATTGTGTGTGAAAAAGAGGGAGGTAACAGATTTTGGTGATCTAATGCTGCCTTGTCAGATTTGGTGACTGCTGTATATCTGCAGCTGTTCATATCCGATCAAAATGTTTTCTAGAATATAAAATTATGTAGGAAATAAAGTTCAGACATCACCAAAATGAATTTGGGTAACATTAAAGCCACTGTGTGTGAAACAGATATTGGTAACCTCTAATGTTGCCTTGTCAGATTTGGTGACCCTGCTATATATTCACAGCTGTTAATTTAAGACCAAAATGATTTCTAAAATATAAAACAGAGAAGGTTAAACAGCACCATAATGAATTTGGGTAATATTTAAGCCACTGTGTGTGAAATAGAGGGAGGTAACAGATTTCGGTAACCTCAAATGCTGCCTTGTCAGAATTTATGTTTCTATCAGATCAAAAAGTTTTCTAGGATTTGAGACTGTAAACTGTGAATTTTACAATACCATTACATAACCTTAAGGGTAACACATTCATAATAAAAACCACAAAACCTAAAATTTGATTTCAGGGGGACTTTAAAAGCGTAAACACAATGAGGGCACACCTGTAGAGCGAGCGCCACACGGATCAGGTCCACCACCACCTCTTCGTTGGCCAGCTCCATGCTGATGAGGGCCAGGAGTGAGTAGAGCTTCTCAAAGTGAGGCTGCACGCTGCTCTGTTCCTTACTGCACAGGTAGATGTGTCTATACAGGTGCTGGTATATATATATATAAATATCTTTATTGGTGTAAATCCAATGAAGATACTAACCTGATGCTGGAGAACTTGGGGAGGTTGTCATGGCGATCGATAAGGCTGACCAGTATTTCCAGCACCAACAGTCGAATTTCTGCATCTTCTAGCAGCGCAAATGACAGCAGTGGGTCCAGAAAGGAGTTGGGAAGAGCTGTCAGCATGTTGGTCGTCTGGAAACCACATGTGACCTAAAAAGAAAGAGAGAAGCATGATCTTTACAACACCAAATCTGTGCTTTGATGCAATTCTCTTTCATGAGGCATCAAGCAGGCAGAGAGTTTACCTGTCTCAAGGACTATTCAGTTAAGGGCTTGATTTTATCCATTAGGTTTTGATGAGATAGTGAAAGGTTATTAGAGTTGGTTAAGTTGGTTAATT